TTCAAGTGATATAAAATGACTGTATAGCGATCAAACAACTGTTAATTAATGAACTGAAAATGGAAACTTCGGGCTGAAATTAATGCTCAAAAAGAAAATGAATGTATTCGATGGCTCGTCAGAAAAAAATTGCTGTTAAAGTAAGTCGATTAAAGAAAGAAACAAGTAAACGAACCTGTAATATCGCATTCGATTCGGTGTAAATTTAAAAGCTTCGATTGAAGAGGAGAGTAATACAAAAATGAAGAGTAACAATACCGCAGAACGGATGATCCGTAACAAATCCATTGTTGATTTGTATGTATTTTCAAGTATTCAGCATAAATGGCAAGGATGATGTCGTAACGAATGAACCCGTAAGATAAGAAAGACTCGATCACTACTTCAATGATATGAGACGATCGCTCATTTAAGTTATTATGTTCAATTTGTTATTCATCTGCAACTACCAGGACGTAGATTACGGTAACAACATTGACATAATACGGTAACAATATTCCACTANATTTGTTATTCATCTGCAACTACCAGGACGTAGATTACGGTAACAACATTGACATAATACGGTAACAATATTCCACTATAGTGCATACTGCTGCATATTCGAGGAAAACCCGTCGGTCGCTTCGCCACAACAGCATGCAGCAGTATAATAGTATAGTAACACCAATAACGAGTTAATTGTATCATTTATATTAACAAAATGCGGCAATAATATTCGAGAAATGACAATGAATTGTGACGTATGCGAAAGCAACTTGCATACATCTTCCTAAATCAATTTTACTGAACACTCAATGAGATCAACGGACTGATGCATGCATCATCATGAAAATACTGCCGGTAGATTAACATACACATGCACTTGACCTTGGCCAAGAGAAAAACGAAATTGTTTGGAAGTTGAGAGTGAAAGGGAATATTTTCGGAGACTGGTGAAGGAATGGATTCTTGTGTGATTAACTCGAGAGATTTCGAACTGATGTGCAAACGAATTGGAATTAAGATGTAATATGCAAGAAATCGTTGGATCGTATTGTATTTCAGTGGATTCCATACATCTAATCTGCAGAAGAAACGTTTTCATGGTGTACAACTTGAATATCTAAAAAAGACTCGAATGGAATTTAGCAACAAACGCCTCCATCAGACATTTATCACCTTCTTATCATCGCACTTGTGATTTTTTAGATTGAACATTGAAATGACATTTCTGTTTGAATCATTTCCCGAATATTTACTCAAGCATAAAAGCAGATACACATTGCTGGCCATCGTCATATGATAACAATCGTTTACAGAACTGATAGAATACACAGACTCGATGGGGAATTGCAATTAAACTGTGACGTATGCGAATGTTTGTTGGTTTATTTTGATGACGATGAAGGAAACATTCTGATGGATAAATAAATAAATATTTGTGATAATCGAAACGGTCGCGTGATGTGCAACATACTGATTCAGAGGNACGTTCAGAGAGCGACTCTTAAACGCTCCGACGTTGTTCGACTATCAATCACATTTGTGTGATAATAATGGTGATAATCGAAACTGCTCTCGTACGCTGCTGACATTTCTCGTCGATTCTTCTCGAGAGCATTGCAAAATCAGCGATTCTTTGCCTTAACTATCCATAATTTTCCTGGACAATTTCATGTTTCGATTATGATTCGATGAGACACTCACCGGGGTGTCTTCATACGATTCCGAAACTATAAATCCATCCCTACAAATTCCATCCCTCATTCCATAATCGAACTGAATTAGTTGACGACTATGCGAGGGAATTTCCTCTGGATAATGGGATGCTCAAATGAGAAATTTTTATGAATGGTGAAGTGAAAACCGATGAAATTCGCAAATGTCTGATTGTGAGATCTGTTCTCGTATAATACAAATTGCAGAAGTGAAATGAAATTAAGTTCAGTAATCCTCATCGCAGCATCACTCACAATCACAATCACAGCAGCAATGAGCATCAGCAGCACATCAACGAAACGATTCAAGCGTTCGCTTGCAGATTGTGAGTGGGACTATTTTATTTTGATGTTTATTTTCAACGCGTCATCATTCTTATTTTTCAGAAGCAACTGAAAATTCAGATCTAATCAATCGCTTCTAATATTACGATAATGAGCGATTTTTGGAATTGCGATGTGAGGATGTTTAAAGGTACATTCGCGGATATATTCCTGAAAAAGGTGGATGGATGTGATATCAAACAGTTGTACGAGAGACGGAAATCGCTGGATTTCGAAGAGAAGATGGCTGGCTTGTTGAAGAGGAAGAACGCAGGCTTTATGCAGCGCACAGCACCGTTTCTACCTGAAATACCACCAGGTTAGTTANTGTGATTCTGACGAGTTGTTTGTGTAATGCAATTGTCATTTGTGTATAAATAAACGGCCAACACTATTACTACTCAAAATAGCATTCTATCAACGAATTCGTGAGTCAAAATGTGTGATTCAATGTTTGTTCTTTTGAAAACGGTGATGATGCAAAGAAAACAGACTATGTGAAAGGTATAAAAATTATCGGTTGAATCGAATATCATCTCTCCAAGTCATCAAAATGAACAATTAAATCCGTTTATATCAGCATAAAACGAATCAGAAAGCAACCCGTCTCAACGTTTACAGTGCAACAATTCAACATCATCTGTATTCGTCTCGCAAAATCCAAAAACGAGTCTCATTCCGGAATGTACAAAGACGTTTCAGTATTGAGCGAAACGCACTAGTGTCTTGCACTGGCACTTCGTTCTGAAAATACACACTTTAATATGGCCAACGTAAGCAGTATAAACCAAATGAATATACATTCTGCTGTTCAACAAATAGATTGATGAATAAACGTGACTACTACTCATAACATAACTATTACAATACCAACCCTAAATTTCTGCACAATTTCATCAGTACTCGCTCGACCGTCTCTCACAGCCAGAAAACAGCGAATATCATCGGCTAGCTGCCCGAAGCGATCGTGCTTCTTGGTCTCTGTTGATGAGCTCGCTTCAACGGACGTCAGCAGTGACGGATACTCCTGCACATGGTAATGTTACTCACATACGACCATAAACATGAAGTTGATATAAGCAACTAACCAGCGCATCCAGATCGTCATCCTCATCCAGAGTCTTCTCCTTTCGTGCTCTGATTGCATCCAACAGACTCATCGAGCTCTCCTTACTCCTGAACTCGACTGATCCTTTTACAGTTCATTACATTAACCAATCTTACATCTCGAGTACTTTTTTCATTTTGCGTTAACTGCACTCGATTTCCATATGCACAAAGAAATATCTGAGAGAACTGTTGAGTGGCAAATCAAAACAACACGATTTCGATAGAACAAACAGTTTATTTCCATTGAAAAATGTCCCTTCGTCATTAGTATCGTCCGCGTCACTTTCGTTGCGTTGCTCATTCTCATCGTAAACAGCATTCATCTTGGAATTATTCGTCTTCTTCGTTCCAAAACGTTGCTTTTTAGCTGAACTGCCACCTATTGATGAATCGTTACTAGTATCCATCACGAATCTGGAATATGATTGTTAGATCATCAGTTGGATACGCGAGTAAGCGGCGATTAAGATAGGCAGCAGTCTCAGTACCTCCTGGATCGTCTCAACGAAGCAGCAGCCCTTTTGGCCACCGAATCAGCCTCATCTTCGATCAGTTGATAATCTGCAGTGCCCTCCACAAAGATCTGATCGTGTCTGAACGCCGAATGCACACCCGCATTCGACAGCAACTTCCTCAGCACGTAATCATTCTGAATCAACGCCTTCTTTACTCTCGAATACACTACTCAAAATGCATCTGCCCTATATCCATCCATCAAACCTGCGCTTTTGCATCCACTTCTTCAGAGCCATCTTTGGAATTCTCTTTGAACTGAGACTGCTTCTTCAAGTACGGTATCTCGTAACGACCATCCAATAACGATTTTCTTCTTCGTTTTGAGTGTCTTTCCTTTTGGCGTTCTTTTTTCGAGGTGGACGCAGATGACGATTGCAGTTCGTCACCTTTATCATGCTCACCTTCTTTCTGCTTGTTTTTGCCAATAGACCTAAAAATCGCATATGACACAAACTGCATTCAACATATTCCCTCATTACATTTATAACAGAGTAATGAAGGAGCGCCTCCCCATACCTACTGATCTTTCGCGCTAATCTCTTCAATTCGGCTATCTTCTCGGCCGATAGCACTTGTTCCACGAGTTGTTTCACATCTTCGTCACTATCCGAATCTATCTCGATTGCTTCAGCACCTTTCTTCACTTTATTCGCTTTCTTCTTACGTTCACTCGCTTTTCGGTGACGTCTAAACCAAAAATAAACATTAAGCAAAGTTATCACTGGTTTGCTTTGAAACACTTGCAACGAACACCCGAAAAGATCAAACAAGAACAACGACGAACTCTTTCTCGTTGATATCGAAATAATTGTTGCGATTGATCTCCTCGGCAGTACCACTGAAAATCGACGCGGTCTCAGTTCCTTTCGCTTTGATCGTCTTCTCGTCACCTTAATCAACAACACTCTAATCTCAATAAACCATATCTATTTCATTCAATAAACGATACGACGAATGGTTTGCATACCTAAACTGAACAATTCATAGAGGTCATTCGTCTTGAAGAAGCGTCTTTGCTTTGGATCGACCAAAATTCGGTTCGCCAAAAACTGCTTAAATATTTGCCTTAAACAAATAAGAGGTCATTATAGTACCACTCCAAAGAAGTATCCATCACTTTTTTGGAATACAATCGCCTCCAAAGTGAGCATTGCACAAAACAAATCAAGACCTATGATAAATTTTCTCCTCGATCGTACCACTCGTCAGTAAACGATAAATGGTCACTGCTCGATCCTGTCCAATACGCCAAGCCCTTTCACGAGCCTAAATATAACTTCTTTGCAACAAACTCCACTTCCCATTTGAATCATGCCATATTTGCATCTATCACCCAACCTGAATATCAGTCGAAGGATTCCAATCAGGATCGAAGATAACCACGCGATTCGCACCCGTTAAATTGATACCTAACCCACCGACTCGTGTTGTCAGCAGAAACACAAAAATTTGATGGTCCTAAAAATAGTTCGAACTATGCAAATCAATGATCACATCCAGCACAATTCCTCGAACGGTCACACTCCTTCCAACCAATTCCATCCCCAAAACTCACTGAATTGAATCGCTCCACCAGTGGCTGACGAGACGCGATCGACGTTGAACCATCCATACGCAAATATTCGTATCTAAACAACACATATTATTCTCATTAAACCGCGCAATCAATTTGACATTAACCATTAACTATTCGAATTGCTTGCCTTACCCTTCTTTAATGATGAATTTCTCAAGGACAGTCAACATCTGACGACTCTGCGAGAACAGCAAAACTTTTTGCTGTTGATCCTTCCACAATTTCAGTAACGACTTCAGAACCTGCAATAATAATAATTTGACAATTGGGTGTTCAGCAGTCTGACTGTCGTTATGTTATGCTNAAATATCACTCGAACCAAATAAGCATGACTCACCATCATTTTACCACTTCTGCATGCCGCACCAAACTCCATATCCTCATCAATCGCAACGTCGTATTCGTCTAAAACATCACATTCTCAATTTCATGCAAATAAATAAATCAATAAAACGAACTGTATTTATTCGGTCCACCAGTGACCAGATCCGGATGATTGCACAACTTCCTCAACGAGATCAAACCCACGAAAGCGTCCATCCTACCACTGAGTATACGAGCGCATTCTCGAGACGATATGTAATCTTTGTAGAGTGACCGTTGATGCCTCGTTATGTCGCAGAACAGAACCTATCCAAATACCACCACATACTATACCACACCGCAAACTAAACCAGTCAAAGTGAAAGCAATCTTATACATAAATCGTCACCTGCTCTGTCTTCGGTGGCAATTGTATAGCCATTTCAACGTCCTTCTTCATACGTCTCAATATATAAGGGTTTATTGCATCCCTTAAATGCAGATCGCTTTACAAGTAGTATACCTTTCAAACGGTGACATATTCACACATCTTTCCCCACTACAGCAACCAACTTCATTCCCCCCGAAGAGGATATGATTCGATCTACTGACTGCAATACTAACGAACCTCGGAATAACACAGATATAAAAACTACCTCAAGACACACGCACACTTGAATGCGGTCCGTACCTGCACTGCATTAGCGTTCGCATAACCGCCTTGAGTTATCGGAATTGCGAACCTATCCGTAAACGTTTGCAATGCACCCAAACGTCCCGGATAAACGAAATCCATCAAAGACCTGCAATCACCAACAAATCTATACAACATCGCTGCTGTCAATTCATCAACTCAAAAAAGTCATTTAGTGATTATTGCGGGGTGAAAATAAAACGGCACATTCATCAATGAGAAAACAAAGAGTATCGCGATCAACCAACCAAAGCTCTTTCAGTGAATTTTGTAGTGGTGAACCCGTAAGAATGAGACGATGCGGTGTACGAACCTCTTTGATGGCGATCGTTATCTAAATTCGTTAGAGCAATTGCAAAGCAAAATCATTCGCTGTTCTCATCACTAATCAACACCAACCTGAGCTGAAGGATTTCGTATCTTATGCCCTTCGTCCAGTATCACATAATGCCAATTCGCCGATGTGATCAGTTTGCGTTGTTTTGTGAACGTCGAATAAGATGTGAGCAGAGCACAACCGTTCGCATGGTACTTACTGAACTTGTGTACGAGTGCTGAGGGTGAGCCTCGATAGGAACCACTCGAATGCAGAATGCCAACTCGGCACTGGGCAAACCAAACACGAAACTCTTTTAGCCACTGATGCATCAACGTCGTCGGACACACCAGCAGAACCGGTCCTAGACCTTTGTAGCCGAACCCTCGACTCTCGAGTTGTGAGAAGGCGAGTGCCCTCAAAAAACAAATCACTTGTATGGTCTTGCCCAGACCCATCTCATCCGACAATATACCGCCTACACACTGATCGTGCAGTTCATTCAACCATCGCACTCCGGTCCTCTGATACTTGTACAGTTTAAGCCAGCATTCCGCTGGTACACGAACTCCGCTCTTCAGCTCATGGCTACTGCCACCCTCGGATGCACCGCATTCTGCTGACCTGCAAATGATAGAGAGTGATCTTGGATGTAATACACATAATGGTTAACAAACTCACCTCACTCTCTCGTCGAAATCTTTATCGTTCGCATCGTCACGCAATCGCCTTAGCTTTGTCACGTTTCCTTTGCTCTCAGCCCTTATTCTGTGTGGTGGCTTCTTCCCATCATCAAACGATTCATTCATCACTGCCGCCTCTTCTTCAGATTCTTCTTCGGCATCATCAGATTCAGGTTTATATTCCGATCCCTCATCTGAATCTTTATCTACGTTCATCCCATCTTGAACCACATCTTCCTCCTGACCGACGCTTTCTTCATGTTTGATTCTATCCAGATCAATACTCTGAAACCATATGGTTTCATTTTGATATTGAAATGATACTGCAACAACAATGAACAAAGTGAACGTACATAAAAATATAAATTGGTCAAGTGAAGGAAGAAATGATACGGTGAATGCGCATACCTCCTCATGTCGTGCTGCCTCGTGGCCAGCTCGTATCATCTCGAACGGCGTCGATTCACCACACTGAACTGACGAATGTGTCTCGATAACGACCTCGTTCAGACTTGGCTTCGTTGCTGGCTTTCCGCTTGCGATTGACGACCATTCTGTCTTCGAATTGATGATGCTTACGTTAGCCTGACATTCACACAGTTCAGTGGAAATATTCCGAATGAAAAGAACGTCAAACAAATCAAATCAAACGGAATCACCTGAGCGAAAAGGCCTTGTTCGAGTGTGGATGCATCATAGACAGTCACTGCAGCATCTGCCAATACACACAAATCCCCAGCGTTCGTCGACTCGCTCTTAATTGGCCGACGATCGAAATAGATTGTATTCAAGCTGACATCACCTTCATCTTTTATTGTCGTCGTCGTCGTCGAATTACTTCCAACCGCATCGAGTGTTTCACTCTTTGCTTCATTCATTCTTCACAACATACCAGTCACCAAACACCACTTAGGCTTACTGTATTTTTCAGAACTGATACCACTTATACACATACAGATATTCACTCTGATAACCCTTCCTGATATCTATACTCACTGAAATAAGTGCAAAACTCTTTAGAACATCCACAATGAGTGTATTTTGTGTTATTCGCGACAAACGATGAACAAATTAAACCTAATAGATACGTTCGGCAGTGAGCGATATATCAGATAAGATCTCATCCGCAACGTATCTAAGCTTGTTAGCCAAAAATCCAGTCTGATCTCTAAACTGAGTAGTCTTTTCGAAGTGCTTCTTTCATAGCCACATCACATCGATTGCACGATCAATGCTCTGATTTTGGAGAGTATATGCAGCAACCGGAACAAATTTGCCCGATGATCCAATCTTGCAAACTATGAAGAATAAAATAACATCGACCAGAGTTTCCCATAATTTTATGCTACAGTTCTGCTAAGCGGTCATTCGGATGCACTGAACAAAACATAACAACATTAGGTACTGCAGTGTAGCTTGAAAAGATATCTGCTTTGTGAATCGAGAAACAGATAATGTCGTCTTTTTATTTTGTTGAGAATCATTTGGTGAAGATGAATAATTACTGAATTATCCACACAAAAGAGCATTGAAATGGAAATAAAACCCGCATTGTACAATATTCCACAAACAAATACATACAAAACAATTTGCAAATAATCAAACATATGTACAATTTATGCATCATCATTACACGTTGATTTGATAAATAAGTTATAAGTCAGAACATTTTACAGGATTCTTATGGTAAGTGAATAAATACATATTAAATTAATGAGCGAAGCAAAGATAACTGAACGATGAGAACTGACGAAGTTGACGCATTCAAATAGCAGTTTCATACAGATAAATTGCGATTCGTCGAATTAGATTTGGTCGATCATGAGCGAGTATTGGCGAGTTGAGTTATTAACGGACAAATGATGGATGGATGCTGTGCCTTGGCCAGGAATGGATGCTGCAGCAGTTCGGTGGCAGTGGCTCGTCGTGAAGGGTCACGCACCAACATTGCGGCCAGGAATGACTGCAACTCGAACGATACCTGCAATATTTCAGATGCACTAATGCTTGCGATCAGTACAAAAAACACGCACGTTTGCATTCGGGCTGAACGTCGGCGAGGGCATATCTCTGATGATTCGCATCGCTTGCAGTGGCTGCACGTCGAAGAGCGGTGGTTCGCCTTGCACCATCTCGATCAGCATTATACCCAACGACCAAATATCTGCCTCTGTGCCGTACGGCATGCGACTTATCACCTGTGATAATAATGCACCAATTACATACCACTCAATTCGACAACCACAAACCAACCTCAGGTGACATCCAATACGGCGTTCCCACTAAACTTCTGCGCTTCGGTACATCTGCTGAGAGCTGTCCACAAAATCCAAAATCTGACAGTTTCGCCACACCGTTCTTCGACAGCAATATCGAGTCGCTTTTGATGTCGCGATGAACCACTCCCCTCGAATGCAAATACTCGAGTGCCCGCAGACACTGAACGCAAATCGTTGCGATCATCTCTTCAGTCATTCTTCAAGCATTGAAACAAAGTCAACGAACGACACGAAACGGATGCACAAAATACGAATCAACCAAACCACCCATCCCCATAAAAAAGAACCAAACCTGCTCTGTGTAATGATATCAGTGAGTGCACCGCCCTGCATATACTCCATAACGACCCACAACTCATCCTCTATCAAATACGACCCATACATCTGCACTATATTCGCATGTTCATAATCTCGCATTATCACCACCTATACAAACATATTTCATTCACCATTCATATAATCCTAAGTAATAAGCGTTAATGCAGAATAAAGCAATCACCTCATTGAAGAGCAACTCTCGTCTTTGCTGCTTCAAGATATTCATTCGTTTAACAGCTACACAACGTCCAGTTGATATCTTAAATTCCGATGTTCATTATAAAAATCAACGAGACCTAATTACGGCACATCAATAAATCAATCAATCAGAATTTACCTAAGATAATCAAATCCTCACCTGATTCGCAGTCATTACGATCCCGGTAGAGCCTTCCCCGATCTGCGTGTAATTTGTCAGATCACTGCGAGGATCACCCGTTCCAACAACCATCTTCAACGCTGCACGGAACTTCAAAATACATTTCATTCACAAACGTATCAATACAACAAATACTTCACGTTTACAAATAATTCGAGTATGAATATAAATTATTACATAATTACGTATCTTAAACAGCGGTTAAATACACAACTAACTTGCAGATGAGAAAGACGATTTGAATTTTGTTGATCTTGTTTGGGAGGATGTTGTTGTGAAGGTTGAGTGCCGATAGTTGTTGCACCAGGTCGATAGGCTGATGCGGCCTCTGAAGAGCTGAACGTAGTTGTTGGGGTGCATATACCAGCCTGGACGTTACTTTGCATCGATCGAGATGAAACGGGATGATGAGAGGGATGAACAGGTTGTGGTGAGGTGGAGGTGAGGACGGACTGGTTGGTTGTGGAATTCATTTGAGCACATCTGGGGTCGAGCACCGGAAAACTTGTGACCTGATGCGAATTCTTTAGATATGTGTACTGAGGTTGTGGCTGTTGCTGTCGAGTCGGATAACGCTCAGCTAAAACACTTTCTTATAATCTAACTCAATAATCAAGAACAAATATTCAAACTGAGATCGATTAAGCAAAACATAATGAGATGATAGAATCGCGGTACCGTTTGAATGTGACGCAAAACCATTCGACTGTTGGAATCCATTTGAGGATGGTTGTTGAAAATGCACTGGTGAGGATAAGGTTGTCGTCGCATCAAGCGTATCTGAACTGAAAATAAGACTATCTGTTATAATTGTTGTTCTAATTGTTGAGAAAAACACAATGAAGTAAGCAAATAAATGAACATACGCTGAAGGAGGAAAGGGTTTTATCCAATTTTCAGGAATGTGAACGATATTATGGTGTGAGAATGATGAGTTAAGAGCACAGTACTGCTGTTGTTCAGTGGGTAAGGTATGGCTGCGTACCATTGTAGAATTTGATTGTAACGATGAACTGCAATAATGACACTACTAGCACAACGCTGAATCAGTTTTTGATGACGAACTGCAACTTGGCTAACAACACATTCCAGATAAAACAGAGACAGAGCAGTAAAACGACAAACCTGCAACGACGAGGCGGTACATCACCGCGGACAATTGTCTTTATTTCGGCCATCTCGAGCGGTGTTATGCACGACGGATCAACCATCGGTTTCGGTCGGCCCTTTCGACTATATGACGTGCCGATGATCGCTTGCCATTGCTGAACGTTGATAAGGAAGTCAATTAATGTTCTGCTGATCCGGAGCATATTCAAGGATCGAACTTGGAAATAAGCAGAAATGAACAACTGAATTTGGTCTGAATGAAGAAATGGCACGTTTAACCTTTGGAAGGCCGTGATACTCG